AAATTATGGGAAAGACTTTGCTTAATAAACTGCTTAGTTTTGCTTGTGCAGTGTTGAGTTGCACATTCTCATTATTGAAAAGGTAATTTTCAAAAAGGCATTTTAAGAGAAAATAGTAAATAGACGTTTGTCCTTGCCATGTAGTAAAGAAGACAGTATGTATTTACTTGGGATCAGTTTTGGTTGCCATATAAATTGTGTGGAGTGTTTGAACTACTCTTTTTAAGAATTATAGTTTCAGGTATTGATTTCTATGAACTCAAATGGTCATGTGGCATTTAGGAATAATTGTAATTGGGTTTAATCAGTTTCACAAAGGAGCTGACTATCACAATTTAGTATTAAAAATTATAGGAATCTGTCTGTATAGTCCAGGGGTTGTTAACCTTTTGTGTGTCATGGGCCCCTTTGTGTTGCCAAAATTTATAATCATATACTTAGAGCCTACGGATCCCCTCTCAGAATAATGTTTTTGAATACATAAAATGCATATGATTACAAAGGAAACCAATTATATTAGAATATAGTTATAATTATTTTTTAAGAGTTCACAGAATGCAATTTAATCCCTAATCTAGTCTAAGTCACGAATGGGCCTCTACCTGGCAGTGGCATTAGTTGGTAGTATTTTAAGGGCCTCCCCATAACCAGCTCTTTAGCACAATAGGACCCCAAAACTATGGAATCACCAGCCCTTCAAATATACTTGTCATCTTGGCTCGAACATGTTTTCTTAGTTCTTGTAGTTTATAGTAGGGGAAGGGCTTGTGGTAGTTGTCTGAGCAAACTCTCTTTTCTGCAGTGATCAGGCTTTGGTTTGGGCTTGGGCTTTTTTTTTTTTTTAACCAGCTGCCCTAAAGATATCCATTTCATAAACATGATAGAAACCTGTTTATGTAAGCATCTTTGAGATCTTGTCAGAATATTGTAAGATGTAGCTAGGTCACATATATTTAGCATTAAAGTGTGAAAAAGCCACACAGCTGGATTTTCTAGAAGTCTGACCAGCTACTGCCAGGTTGTGGAGAGACTTGTTTTCAGGCTAAAGATGTTCAGTCCTACTGTGGGAATGCGTGAATGAGCATTTATTAAATCAGTCAGTAAACATTGATTAGGCACCTGCTGTATGCCAAGCAGAGTGCTAAGCACTGGGGACACAAGAGGCAAAAGGCAGTCTGTGTCCTCATGATGCTGTAAGGGAGTGCCTAGAGGAGAAGAATGGCCAGGAATGGTGAATGAGGCCCAGGAGGCTGTGGTTGACACCCACTCTCCAGGGGGCAATGGCAGAGTTGAACTGGCAAGAAGGGTGGCTAGCTAGCTGCCGAGGAGAAAGCAGGGGAGGCAGCCACTTCTCAGAACAGCAAGGTGTTGGGGTGAGAGGGGTCAAATCCTCTTGGATTCGTATTTTGGGCCTGAGCAAGCTGGTAAGGAATTGGTCTTTTGCTTTTCTTGCATCCTTGTACCTATTTTCCAAGTTATGCCTTAGAGCAGTTAGAAAAGCAGCCAGGAAAAGCCTTTTTTTCCTCCTACCATATACCATACCTCCGTTATATGGCATGCTGGGCTAGTGTGATTTTTCTGTATAACTGAAGGTTAACTCTTGAAGCACCCATTCTAAAATATATTATATGCCTTAAACAATACATAAAATATAATTTTAACTTTTCTTGTTTTCTTCAGAAGGTGTTAGGTCTGTGTCCTAGAGGCAGTCTCCAAAGTCTTTTATGTTCCCACCATATACGGAACTAAAATGATAAAGTACATATTTTTTCCTGCAAAATTAAATATTAAATCAGGCTATCAGTAAAGTCATCTTTGGTGCCCTTTGAAATTTAGCAGCATTCTTTTACTTAAACATCCGTAATCACTTCAGTTGACATTTCTTTGGCTCCTTGTGGCCAAGATACTCACTTGATTTTTACGGTACCCCGTGAGGAAGGCATTACAAATACTATCACTGTTTTACAAATGAAGAAACTGGAGTAAGTGACTTTATATTTGAACCAAGATATTTCTGACTCCCAAGGCCAGTGCTCTCTGCTAAATCATATGAATTAATCTAAATGTGGAAAATTGCTGTTTTGTGGATGTCTCTGATTTTGTCATCACAGACCCTTCAGATTGTGTTGTGTTTTTACAACTGAAGGTGCAAGTGTGATTGGCCTCTAAGACCTCTTAACTGAATGATTCTGAAATGATATTTATAAAAGCATTTAGCCCAATGCCCAGCACATAGTAGGCATTATATAAATAGGGTTGTTTCCTTCCTCTTCTCTTCCCTTCTGTTAACCCTTCTGGGTTTGCCACAGTATCCATGTTATCAGGGTTTTATTGTAACATTAATTTGCTTCTCTTCTATTCTTTTCCCCTAAGCCTTGACAGTTGCCCAATCAGCTATAAATGCACATGATTCAAAAGTAACCTTGAATTTGTTAGTTTTCCTTACAATCTTTGTTTACTTTTCTTGATCTGGTTTGTATTTTTAGCATCTAAGTGAATATTCTTGAACATACTGCTAAAGCACAATGTACTGTGGTTGAGACCAAAAATAATTTTTATGGTTTCATCACATGATTAAGCAAATCAGACGTATTCTCTCAAAGGCTCCACCTCAGTAGTGAACCTACTTTTCCCTCTTAGGTAAGTGAGGTGGCAATTGCTTGTCCAGTTATATTCTGAGTATCTTTATTGCTGCTTCCCTTTTCCTGATGTTTTTATCTTTTCATAACTAATTCAAATGCCTCAATCTAGAGGGTGAAAAGGGTTGAGAGAAAGAGAAAAGAATCAGCCCAATTAGTCTTTGTGCTTGTTTAGGTTTTAGAGGAAGCTACTTGCCTTGTTGCATAGGACTTAAAACAACTTGACTGTGGCAAGTAGAAAAAATATTAATGATCTTGTTTCCATTTCCATTGATGTTCCTCTACTGAACTAGTCAGGTTGGATGAGCTAAGCAGTTATTCTTTGGGTATTTATTAGCAAGACTGTTTAAGCAATTTTGGGTAAAGACTTGAAGTGAAGTTAGTAATTATTGGCAAAAATTACTTACGAATCATGAATTTCAGTCAACTTTTTTGTCTCGACTCCAATTTGCAGTGGGTAATTGAGGGTTGGCTGTAACTTTGAGAAATATATTGCTTTAAAATGTCACAGAAAAGCTGATGGCTTTTCTTTTTGCAAAAGATGCCCTGAGGAGCTGGAGAGGGAAAAAAAAACTCAGCTATTACTTGATAGTTTTGAGTGCCTCAGAGGAAAAAAGGTCAAAATCTAAGAGAAAGGAGTCCTTTTACCAAGAAGCTTTAAAATTATGCAGCCTCATTACAGTAACTAGTACAACAGGGTAGGATCTCAGAGCTTTATCCTCAAGATTTGTTTATATGATTTGAGATTTTTTTTTTAAGTTTGAAGTAAAAACCTAGAGGAACAATTGAAGATCATTAAAATATTGTCTTGAAACTTACTGAAAATTGCCTTTTCAGAAACCTAATATAATCTCTCCTTCTTTACCTCCCTTCCTTTTGTTAAATGCCTACTACTATGAGTTAGGTACTAGAGATACAAAGACAAAAAAATACATTTTCTGCCCTGAAGGCTTGCATTCTGCTGGGGTGGGAGAGGTGGTACTTGATTTGAGTTTTAAGTGAAGCTAGAGTTTTTAAGACGTATGGATGAGGAAGGCAGTACATTCCAGACATGAAGAAACCCACTGCAAAGTCATTGGAGTGAGAATAGGAACCCCAAATTTGGGGCACAGCAGCTAGGCCAGTTTGGCTGGAGCATAAAATGTATCAGGGGAAATAATGTGAAATGAGCCTGGAAAACTTGACAAGAGCATGATTGTAAAAGACTTTAAATACCAAATAATCAGGGGCCACTGGAGATTTTTGATCAGAGTCATGTTATTGTTAGTCTGTGTTCATCAGCTATGTGAAAGATGGATCAGAGAGGAAAGATATGGGAGACAGGCCCATTAGGAGGCTATTTCAGCAGTCTAGGTGAGAGAAAAGTGAAGGCCTGAACTAAAATAGTGGCTGTGTGAGTATAGAAAAAAGATAGAACTGACATCACTTGGTACCTGGTGATACTGGAAGTGAGGGCAAAGGTGACCCTGAGTGCCTAGAAGAATGGGAATGCCTCAGCAGAAACAGGTTACGAATGGGGAAGGGGAGGGTGAAGAGTTTTGTCTTGGGGTTTGAGATGCCTTTGGGACATCCAGGTGAAGGTGTTTGATCAGCATTTGGTAACTGAGGACTAGAACCAAAGAGAAAGAGGAAGCCTAGACTAAGAAAAGATCATCGTCAGATTTGATATTTTTACATGTCACTGGTAACTTGGAAAGGAACAGCTTCTTTGGAAAATTGTTGATTGTTTTGCTTGACAATGCTTATTTGTTGCAAAGATTTTTTTCCCTTAGTTTTTTTGGGGGGAGGAAGGAGATGTCAGGGGTTATCGATAGTGACGCCAATAAAAGGGCCATTGTAACATTTTTTAAATGCACAGAAGAGAACAGAATGAAGCTCAAAAGGAAGCAAAAACAAGTAGGACATTTTGAAAGTAATATTTAGAATTTAATTATATAAATGTGTGTGTGTGTAAATACATATATGTATATTTCAAGCAAACCTCATGAAATGGAAAAAGAAAATAGTTGTGATACTGAAATAATTAGTCCTAAATATTGTTTAAAATGTCTTATGTTCTTCTCTTGCGTTTTTCCCTAGTATTTTGTGCACATTTACCTTTCCTTTGTATGGCATTTCCCCTCATACATATGCTAGTCAAGCATCAGTGAATTCCCTTGTAGATAAGTGATATGTTAAGACTTAAAATTAGCTATTTGTCAAGGAAAAGCATTTTTAGAAAAAATAATTAAAGGACTAGCCTAAATGCTGAATTAATACATTTTTTCTTTTCAGTGAATTCTAAATATATGTGTGTGTGCATGTATGCATGTGTATATACATATCTATACACATATGTATGTATTTTTTTTTTGTCTTAAGTGTGAACAGGAATTAAGAATAATTCAGAGTGAATTTGACCGTCAAGCAGAGATTACCAGACTCCTTCTGGAAGGGATCAGCAGTACACATGTGAGTATTCAAAATCATTTTGGCTATTGAACACTCAAGCAAAGTATAGATGGTATATTCCAAAGGGATGAAAATATTAAAAGTGCTACCAGGAGGTGGGAACAGGGGCATAAATTGTGTGGAATTTGTCATGATAAGTGGGGAAAATACAACTTTCTCCTTGACTCACTTTGTCCAGTAAGGCAATGCAGATTTTCAGGCCCACTTCTCTTATTTATTTTCATGGCCCCCTCCATATGCACATACTGTGACATGATTATGTTAGTGAAACAGCCTTTATTACCTCCCTTCAGTAGTGCAGTGGCATCCTAAGTTAATTGTGGATTTTTATCATTCTTCATCAGCCCTTGGTCCTGCTATTTCGCTTTCTTTCCTAGGCCCACCATCTTCGCTGCCTGAATGACTTTGTGGAAGCCCAGATGACTTACTATGCTCAGTGCTACCAGTACATGCTGGACCTGCAGAAACAACTTGGGAGGTAGGCGAGGAATGAGTGTCTTTTCTGAGCTGGAGCTGTGGATCAGCCAGGAGCGAGACTTTCCCTGTGAAGTGATCACAGGAATGAAGATGAGAGATGTTAAGGTTTCTGTAACATTTAGTATCAGTTTATTTTTAAGAATGGTAATTGGAACACTTACTAGCTGTGTGACCCTGGGCAAGTCACTTAACCCTGATTGCTTCACCAAAAAGCAAAAAACAAACAAGAAAAAAAAAGAATGGTAATTTGGTTCTCACTGTTCCCTCCATACACTAAAGTACTTGATACTGTTTGCAAACATTTAGGCATCTGAACATTCATTATGTATGTAGGTAAGAGCCCTGTTGAGGGAGGACATTCTCTGTGCTGTGTCAAAAGGAACTGTGGGGAAAAAAAAAGGAAATAACTGGGGTCTCATAAAATCAATCCAGCCCCGTCCAATTACCTTGTTTCCATGAAGAAATTGAGATCCAAAGAAGAGAGTCATTTGCCCAAGTAGACCAGTTAGGTGAAGGATCAGTCGTATCTGAAGGACATCACAGGGTCAAAGATTTAGTGCTCGTGGAGCTCCTACCACCTCATTTTGTAGATCAGGAAACAGAGGCCCAGAGAGGGCAAGAGACTAGTTCAAGGTCAAGCAAGGAAGCAGCAAAGCCAGAGTTTGAACCTAGTCCACAGTCTTACAAAGTCCGCTTTCTTTCCACTGTATATGCTGCCTCCCAACCCATGTTTCATAACAACTTCTTTCTTGGAATCCAGTTGAAATGTACAATTACCTGTCTCCTGGAGGTATTTTTCCTTCCACATTAGACCTTAAAACATCTGAGTGATCTGTAAAAGCATCCTGGGTTCTAAGAGAATCATAACAGCTGCAATTTATATTGTACTTGGAGTTTTGCAAGATATTTTCTTTACGTGTTCTCATTTGAGAGATCAGTGCTGCAGGCATTATCCCTGTTCTGCGGATAAGGTCTGGCTCAGAGAGGTTAAGCTACTGCCTAGAATCACACAGGCAGTGTTCAGCAGCCATCCCACTGAACTGGCTGGGAACTTGTCATCATCAGTCATCCTGAATCTGCCATCTGCATGTGTCTACAGGGGGAGAGGGTCATGCACATATGAAGCAGGGCAGGGCCAGGGAACCTGGTAAGGAATCAGCCTGACTTACCAACTTTGCTGAGCTCTGGGAAGTCTGAGGCTGTCTAGAAAGGCCTTCTGGAGACAAAGGACAAGAGTCTCTGTGGAGGGTTTGCTCTGTTCTGCTTAGAGGAGAGGAGACAGACCTGGTTCCATCAGTTTGGATGGAGCCACTAGAATAATCTGGTATTAAGAGAACGGGATCAGAAATTAGAGTTAAAGTTCAAAAGATTTGTCCTAGTCGAGAATCATTCTACTAGTCTTCACCTCCTGTCCTCTGGTTGAGGGGCTAAAGGGTATTTTTATACTCGGAAAACAGGTTACCAGCAAAAGGGTGGTTTTAGGTACCTCATTTATTTCTCTTCCAAACCTGCATTTATTTCTATTCAAGGCCTCTATTTTAATAATAGCACCAAGAAGGGTATAAAGTTAACTGAGGCATTTGAATTTAAAATATGATATATTTAATTCTTGAACAACAAATTGGATTCTAAAATATTACATCAATAATCTTAACAAATCTATGTTGTATGAATCCTAGTTGGCATTTGCGTAGTAATATAAGAAGTTATACTAATTTTAAAATGGAATATTTGGGCATAAATTTCAAATAGGAAAAAAACCCATCTTTTTTCTTCTTAATTTTCCATAAGACTACCCTACCTTTTCAAGACTTCTGTCAGGTGAAACTGAAACACCAAATAGTAGGACAGTCAGGCATAGAAGCAGATAGGTGCTGTATGCCTGAGACAAGAACACAGAGCTGAGAGAAATAAGAGCTTTCCTTCCTCCTTCTGATCTTTTGGGAGGAACACTGAATTATCACTGAAGAAATGCACATTAGGGTTTTGTGGGATAGAGATACTTCAAAAACACTATTGACCTTTTGAAGGGTGGAACCTAAATTTGGTAGTTGTAGTGTTTGTTTTGATCATAACCACCTAACAGAAGCATTTGCTTTTTATTTTAACTTCCCTTTTGAAACAAAGAGAGTTGTATTTTTGGAGCAACCTTCCCCACCCCCACCCCCTTTTCTACCAAATGATCTTTCTTTTTCAATGTTCTGAACCAAAGTATTTAATAAAATTTAAATTGGGTTGTATAGACTGTTTTTTCCCTCTTTTTGGGGGGGGAGGGGGTGTTGAGGGAATGAAGACCAGGCTTTCTTGGCTCATTATGTCCGAATGTCTGTTTCATCCTAATTGAAAAAAGTTAGGTTAGAGTGAACATAGGCTATGTTGCTGTTCAGTAGTTTCACACTTCGTGACCCCATTGCGGGTTTTCTTGGCAAAGATACTGGAGTGGTTTGCCATTTCCTTCTCCAGCTCATTTTATAGATAAGGAAACTGAGGCAAACAGGGTTAAGTGACTTTCCCAAAGTCTCACAGCTAGTAAGTGTCTGAGGCCAGATTTGAACTTAATTTCTCTTTAATATGATATGATATGATTAGCAGCTATTCTATAAATCAGAAATCCTGATTTGTCTTTAATTTTTTTCATGAATCTAATAATGTTCATTCAGCACACAGCTTTAATGACTTTGAAGAATACTTCCTTATTTTTTCTCTAAATATTAGGAGGCATAGATGAAACTGCATGAAATTGAAATGAAAGTAATAGAGAAAATTGTCATTTGGACAGCTGTGTTAAGAATAGCATTATATTAAAGTATTTATTAACATTGTTCTTGAGTAAATATAAATTCTATTAAACTTTGCTTTGTAGAGGTAGCTCACTAGTCCAGATTCTCTTGCAGTGTTTGGAAGAAAGCTGGGAGCATAGCCCCAGGACATTTCCCAGAGCAGTAGGTTAGTGAGAATTCCTTTTTGCAAAATTTTGCTTGTCAAGTCTTCAGCCTTTTATTAAGCTAGTACCCTGTGCTGGGTACTATACTAAGTAATAAGCATATAAAAAAGGGCAAAAACATTCCTCAGAGACAACATGCAAACAACTATATACTCCCAAGATAGGACAGGATGGAAAGTCATCTCAGAGGAAAAGCACTAGCATTAAAGGGGGTTCAGGAAAGGCTTCTTACAGAGTTTAGAATTTTAGTAGAGACTCGAAGGAGCCAGGGATGCCAGCAGGCAATAGTGAGGAGGGAGGGGAAGAATTCTGGGCATAGGAGACAGCAGCCACTGAAAATGCCCAGAGCTGGCACATAAAGTGTTTTGTTTGAGGAACAGCAAGGAGACTGGTGTCACTGGATTGTGGAGCATGTGGAGCGGCCAAGCTCCAAACTCCATTATTGGGAGTAGGAAGCGGCCAAGTTGTAAAAATTTTAAAAAGGCAAAGACAGGATTTTGTATTTGCTCCTAGAGGTAATGGGAACCACGAGAGTTTATTGAATATGGTCAGAGCTACCCTGCAGGAAGCCTACTTTTACAGCTGAGGGGAGAGACTGGTGGCAGGGTGACCAGCCATGAGGTGGTAAAGGACCTGCCTGCCCAAGGGTGGTGGGCTTACGTAAGAGATGTTAGAAGTGATAGATTGGGTAGCAGCTAGATGGCACAGTGGAGAAAGTGCTGGACTTGTAGTCTAGAAGAACTGAGTATTGAGCCTTAGACACTTCCTATCTGTGTGATCCTGGGCAAATCCCTTAACCGTTCAGCCTCAGTTTCCTCATCTGTAAAATGAGGGTAATAATAGCACCTACATCAAAAGGTTGTTGTGAGGATCAGATGAAATAATAATTGCAGAGCATTTTGCAAACCTTAAAGCTCTACATAATTACTATCTAATATTATTGGGTATGGAAAATGTGGAACAGCTTGGTGGTGCAGTAGATATACCACCAGGTCTGGAGTCAGTAATACTCATGTTCCTGAGTTCAAATCTGGTCTCTGACAAACCCTGTATGCCTCCGTTTCCTCATCTGTAAAATAGGCTGGAGAAGGAAATGGCAAACCACTCCAGTATCTTTGCCAGGAAAACCCCATTTGGGGTCATGAAGGATCAGGCACAGTTGAAAAATGACCGAACAATGGGGTGTGTAATTCTGGAATGTAAAATCAGAAACCCACTTTTATATAATACCATTGAAATTGAAATATGGATTTTTATAAGGTAAAGGTAACTAATTAATACTGATTATAATGGTGCCCATCTGTCCATGACAAGAATTTTCATTTTCTGTATCTGAATTTTTAAAGGGGGAATTCTGGGAATTTTTCTCTTTCATTATTATTTAAATAAATGCTCCATTCTCTGCCTGCCCCTTTCCCACTTCACATAACATTTTTAAGGTCAAATGTGAATTTCTACTTTTCTGGAAAATTCTTTCATACAGAATAAACATTTTGTAAAAAGCAGTATTTTGTTCCAGAGATCTTTAAGAGAAAGCTTTTGTAACACACTTGTAGTTATTTCTCCCTGGAGCTTTATGAACTTTATCCAGCGTCATTGTTCTGCGGACTTAGAAGTAAATGGGAGCTCGGGGATGTGACACGGTGGGTCTTTTCGTTAACTTTTTTCCCAAAACGGAAGCTGATAAGAAAGTGAATAGTGCCACCAAGTGGTGGCCCGATGCTGCTGACTGTTTCACAACTGAAACTTGTTAAAACATTCATTGCCTGGTTTCTCAGAGAAAATTCTTTCCTTCAGAGTTTAGCAGTCGTCCTGCAAGTGTGATTATCTGCTCTGAGGAGAATTTGAGTCCCTTATTTTAACTGAAAAGAAACTCATTGTTGTGAGCCGAAATGTGAACAATTTTGCAACTAATTTATATATTAATTTTTTAAATAAAGTAAGAAATAGAGAAATAATTCCTTGGCCCTTTTGTTTTCAACAGCTTTCCATCTGCCTTCATATCTAACAACAATCAGGCTCCCACATCTTCCATGTCCAGCGTTGCCTCCGCTGCCTCATCAGCCCCAGTAACCTCCTCTATGTTGCCTTCAACAAGTAGCACAATTGTCTCTCCCATCCTCAGTGACTTGAAGGAATCCAGCGGAAGCAGGAAAGCCAGGGTTCTCTATGATTATGATGCTGCAAACAGTAGTGAATTATCACTTCTCGCAGATGAGGTAAGGAATACTAACTACTGATGTATGAAGGTCCTAAGGTCACCACCATAGGACGTTCCCTTGGGGACAGACATGACTCCATAGATTTCTGATGGTTTATATTATTGTCTGTCTTTTCTTGACTTAAAATCTTGTATAACAGAATAAGATGTCAGAAAGTTGGTAAGATGGTGCTTGGTCTGTGTTCGGAAAAGTAGCCCTATGAGACATTGCATCGTTTGACAAGATTTGGTAATATTGTTTAATCCCTTGAAAAAATGAGTTTGAGCTAGTTGGAGGTAGGTTTTGGAGAAGTGTTTCTTATTTTTTGTATAGGACATGATTCACAAGAGCAATTGTGATCACTGTTATATTTTATTAATAAAATGAATAACTATGAACTTTTTTTTTTCTTTAGGTGATCACAGTATACAGTATCGTTGGTATGGATTCAGACTGGCTGATGGGTGAAAGGGGAAATCAAAAGGGCAAAGTACCAATTACTTACTTAGAACTACTCAACTAAGTGGAGGCTCCTATCCAGACTTCCAGTTATGGCAATATTTATAAATGATTAACTGTGTAAAGCAGGTTCAAGCGTCTTCCATGTTAATGTCTTAAAGAGACTCAGAAACTACCAGCCATCAGAACTAGGCTTTTCTGCCAATAATGTTGCATGGTAGATTTTTCATTGCTTCAGATTTGGTGTTAAGAGCTTTTTACTTCGTGCCAAGGATGTTTTCTTACAGGATTCTCTGTTTCTACTGAAGTTTTCACTAACAGGGGGATTCTACTTTTGAGTAAACTAGATCGAAAGCAGGAGATCTGTTTTCTACTGAATTTTTCACTAACGGCAAGCTTCTTCCTTTATGTAAAATAAATTTATTGTGAATTGATGTCAGGTTTACTCTTTTTTTTTTATTATTACATACTGGTAGGAGCCCTAAAATTGGTTTAACTTCCTGGCTAGAATTTTTTTTATTAGCAAAAACTGCAAGGATATATACTTTTTGACTGAGAGTACAAGCAAATTTAAAAGTATCCATAAAGATCAGAAATCCACATTTTTATTGTCATTATCAGAGTAAGCCAGTAGAAGCCTAAAAAAAGTTTCAATTGAAAATAGAACAGTGTATCTAACAGTGTATACAAAGTCATTTGGGGACATTGGCTTCTCTCAAATTACAGAAAAATTCCATCTCTTTTGCAGCGTTATTACTCTTTTCTTTTTTGACAGATGGGAGTCTATAACTTCATCCGCCATAGGCCCTTGTAACTTGATAGGAATAAATTTTTTTTTATGTTTTGTGTGTATTGTTTCACACCCACATTTCCTGATTGTACACTAACTAGGCAGATTTGTTTGAGATACCTGTGCCTGGTTAGTGTCACTTAGAGATCACTATAATGTGAGTAATGAGATTTTCTTTTACTGAACAGAAGTCTTGGTGATGGTATAAGAGCTTATGGCAGTTTGTTCATTATTTATATATGGCATGCAACAAGACTGACACAGTATAGAAAAAGACGTGGCCTTTAGCCATCCCAGCCCTAGCACCTCAAGTCTGGCTTGTTGAAAGCCTCCACTGTGTTTGTATGCGTGCGTGCGCTTGCGTGGACACACACACACACACACACACACACACACACGCTCACTCTCACACTCCAGATTCCTGTCCCATCAGGGCATCAGGTGAAGTATGGAAACAACAAGTGTTTTTGACAGGACCCAGGGTGGGGGTGGGGAGCTAGTGGTAGAAACTCTGCTCTACTCTGATGGATTCTCTGCAGGACAATGAGCCAAGTAGGGCTCCCCTTCCTCTTGGACCCCGTTTCCTAAATGAAGAGCCACTTCAAATAGGGCTGGTCCCCTGTGAAGCCATTTCCATAGACATTTCTCTGATACACTCTCCCAGCTCCTTTTTGACCTCTCTCTGTTAGCACTCTTAGCACGCATGCTGACACAAGTAGCTCAATATATGGTGTCTGAACCATGAGGGGCATACTGGTGGGACATACTCCTGTACCTTGGACAAACCAAAATAATGGCAGAAGAGGTGCCCTCCAGACTGCTTCCTTAGCCGCTTCTTTTGAATTCTGGAGAATTCCTTGGAGGGAATGAAAGCAGCAAAATGCAGAAGGGATACTCCCCAGAGTGAGGATAGAAGCCAAAGGCCCTGGGCAGAGGGTGGAGGGATTCTCAAGCCATCATATGCCACCACTGCCAGATCTGTGAAGGGGAAGATGACTCCTTCAGCCGGTCCCTGCTTCTCTCTAGCTCCATTGTTTGGCTTGAGGCCACCTTCCTGGTTTGGGGTATGGGGAGGGCTTCCAGATTAGATGCTGCCAACAAGGACCAAAATCAGCTTCCAACAGCCTTTTCAATGATCCCACCCTTTTTCCAAACTTGATTTTTACAGACTTTGTCCTAGAGAAGCAGTTCTAACAAGTCGGCACATTTGTCTCCTGAGCTCACTTCCTTTAGTGTCCCGTTTCTTATGTGTTGGTACAGTGGGGGCATTCTTAATGATTTCTTGCCACTATCTCTCCAACTTCCACAAGCACGTGGTCTTTTTTCTGACTCCTGCTGAAATGGTATTTTTGTTTCCATCTTTATAAGAGGAGCTGCTTCCTCAGTCATGGAAATGATGGACATCCACAGACTGATGTCATTATTAGCACAGATTGTTTATGGGAGAGGGAATGGGGCAGAATTAAACATAGCACCTGGTAAAGTATTTTCAGATGAGTATTATCATGGTGGTGTTAGCCATTCTCAAATAACCCATCATTGCTAGATGAAATTTTCCTGGTGATTATAAGCATCATAAGCAAATAAATAGGTGTTAGGATTATAGTTCACTCTTAACTGGCTAGTGACTCAAGACTGGCCAGTTGGTTTTTTTTGTTTTGTTTTGTTTTGTTTTTTATACTGGTGTTTAGCTAACCTCACAAGGTATGTGTCTTCCAGGGTGTGTCTACATCACAGCCCTCTTGTCGTCGTATCAAGATTGTTCATCTAGACTAGGTGTCTAGTCTCAGATAGAACATCCTATCCTCCATGTAACACCACGTTGGTCTCCCATTGGGAGCTCTTATAAAATTTAAAACCCTTGAGTCTTAAGAGTGCAATTCAACAAATATGTATTAAGAACCTACTACACACTAGAGATACAAGGGGTGCCCCCCAGAAGCTCACATTCTGATAGGGTTGAAACAAGCTGTGCCCAGATGAATAAAGACAAAATGTGGATGAAGCATCCTCTGGGGTGGGAGAACAGAATGCTAATAACTAGGGGAGGGGTATCAAGAAAGGTCTGGTGTAAGAGGTGATGCTTGGATGGAGCCTTTGCAGAATCATAGAATTGGAAAGGTAGATGGGACCTCTGCAGGGTGTGGAAAAGGAAGCCGCCCTAGCACACTCTGTAAGAGGGCAGCCTCTGCTTAAAAACCTCCATTGAAGAGTCGGCTGCTTCTTCTGGTAGCCCATTCTACGTCTCTCATCAAACGAGGAGTTCTTCCTGACCCCACGCCTATGTTCACCTCTCTGCGTTTTCCCCATTGCACACCCCGCTGCTCCCATTTCCACCATCCGGGGTCAAACAGAACAAATACTCTGATCCCTCTTCCACCTAAGAACCTTGGGAAAGGAGCTAGGAATTCCAAGAGGCAGCGGTGAAGAGGGAAAGAGTTCTAGGCACAGGGGGGTCAGCCTGTGCAAAGTCTGGGGAAGGGGAAACGAAACGTGAGAAACAAGTAGACAGAAAGGCTGACGCCAGGCTGTGAACGGGTTTGAATGCCAAAGAAAGGAGTTTGTATTTTTTCATAAGGGCAAACTGCATGAGCTGTGGCTTGAACAAGACTGTTTTGGCAACTAGGTGGGAAGATGGATTGGAGAAGAGAGATTGGAGGAAGGGTGGCTATTATTAGGTGACTATTGAAATAGTCCAGGTGAGGTGATGACAGACTGAATTGGAATGGTGTCCATGTGAGTGGTGAGAAAGGGAAGGATGAAAGTTGTTTTGGCATTAGAATCAGCAAGACTTGGAAGCTGATTGGATGAGGGGAAAGTGAAAAATTGAGGGTGACTTGAGTTGTGAACTTGGGTGGTTGTACCTTGACAGAAATAGTGGGTGAGTTTGGAGGCAGTGGGGAAGGGGTGGGAATGGGTTCTGTTTGAATATATTGAGTTTGGCCTGCCTATGGCACATTCAGGTAGAGAAGTAGAATTGGCAGGTGGTTTTATATGTGGCAAGGTATGTAGACTTGGATGATACTTTTGCATAGAGATGATAATTAAACTCATTGTAGTTGGTTAGATAGATCCCCAGGGAGGGCAAAAAGAAAAGAGAGCACAAGACAGAGCCATAGCGTACACCTACACTTAGTGGATGAGACGTAGATAATGGCCCAGCAAATGGGAAATGAGGAGTGGTCAAGTCAGTGTCGTGGAAGTCGAGGAGGAAGGGGGAGTTCTCAGTGGCAAAAGCCATAGGGACGTCAAGTATAATGAACTTGAGATACGGCCAATAGACTCAACAGCAAAAAAGATTTTTAATAACCTTGAAGAGAGCACTTGTCTACTAATGGTATTAGTAGCCAGATTACAAAACATCGAGGCGTGGGAAGTGAGGAAATAAAGGGGACCAGTGTAGACAGGTAGATAGAGAGGGCAGCTAGGTGGCAAAGTGAATAGAGTGCCAGTCCTGGAGTCAGGAAGACCAGAGTTCAAATCCAGCCCCAGGCACTTGACTAGCTGTGTGACCCTGGACAATTTCTCATCTGTAAAATGAATTGGAGAAGGAATGGCAAACCAATCCAGGATCTTTGTCATGAAAATCTCAAAGGGGGTCACAGAATTTTGAACACGGCTGAAAACAACTAAACAACAAAATGTAGATGACCCTATTTAGGAATGTGTGAAAAGAGGGCTTAAATTGTCACTTGAGAAATGGAAGTGAAGGTTTTTAAAGTATGGGGAGACCTGATCATGTTTATAGGTGGCGTGGAAAGAGAAACTGAAGCTAGGAGAAAGGGGGAATAATTTAGAGAAATGAGCTTTCAGAGGAGCCTAGACAGGGCAGGGTGTGAGGATGTAAGCTCCAATTAGAAGGTTAAGAGTGGAAATTGGTTCATCATTTGTAACCCCAGTGCCTAGCACAAGGTAGGTGCTTAATAAATGCTTATTGATTTTTTATGGGATTAAGTGCACAAGTGCAGGGATTGGCCTTTGCCAGGAGACTGAGACTGAAAAAAAAAAAAGAATGGAGGATGATGCAGAGAGGGTTGAATGTGTGGCGTGAGAAGAGGGAGCTTGGGACGTGTGGCTTCAGTAAAATAGAAGGTAATCACCTCTGTTGATAGGGAAAGGGGAAAAGGGAAAATAGAAAATCTCTTAAGAGAGGAGAGGTTTGGAAGTCACCTTGGAGAGTGCGGTAGAGTCTGTTAGGGAGAAAAAGAGTTGTACAGTAGTGAAGGTCCAGTTCAGTTTAAATAACGTAGCCTTGGTTTGCCAAGACCTGGGTGCTTGCCAGAGACTGGATGCCAATTTTAGGGAGATCCTAGAATTTTTAAGGGGATCCCTCTTTCTTGGAAGAGAGAGAATCCAAAAGACAGTAAGACAGTTAATGGATATTCTGAGGAAATAAGAATCCTAAGCTACATTCTGAGGGGAGCTGATCTGTTGACAGGTTCTAGAGAGAGAGATCAGCTTGCTCTGCGGATTTCATGTTTTTGGAGGAAGACCTTTACCCAAGTTTAGGGGACTCAGATAAAAGAGACAAGATAATACACAAGCAGATGAAGGCCTAGACAGACAAGTGTGTGACAGAAGTGGAGACCAAGTTTGACAGCAGTTGGCACTTGGTGGCAGTTGGTGAGAAGAATTTCAGTCTGC